GGGGGGGGGGGGAAGAGAATCTGAAGTGGGCTCCCTGCTGACAGCAGAGAGCCCAATGTGGGGCTTGAACTCAGAACTGTGAGATCACGACTTGAGCTGAAGTCGGAGGCTTTTCTTTCTTTTTTTAATGTTTATTATTTTTGAGAGTGAGAGAGGCAGAGCACAAGCAGGGATGGGCAGAGAGAGAAGGAGACACAGAATGCGAAACAGGCTCCAGGCTCTGAGCTGTCCGTACAGAGCCAGACGTGGGGCTCCAGCTCGGGAACAGCGATATCATGACCTGAGCTGAAGTTGGGCACCCAGCCGCCTGAGCCACCCAGGCGCCCCAGGCAGATCGTTTTAAATCACCATCAAAGAAACTTCATTTTGGGGCCCCTGGGTGGCTCATTTGGTTGAGTGTCTGACTTTGGCTCAGGTCATGATCTCGCAGGTCATGCGTTTGAGCCCTGCGTTGGGCTCTATGCCGATGGCTCAGAGCCTGGAGCCTGCTTTGGATTCTGTGTCTCCCCCTCTCTCTCTGCCCCTCCCCTGCTCATGCTCTGTCTCTCAAAAGTAAATAAACATTAAAAAAATATTTTGAGGGGCGCCTGGGTGGCTCAGTTGGTTGGGCGTCCGATTTCAGCTCAGGTCACGATCTCGCGGTCCGTGAGTTCGAGCCCCGCGTTGGGCTCTCTGCTGACAGCTCAGAGCCTGGAGCCTGCTTCCGATTCTGTGTCTCCCTCTCTCTCTAATCCTCCCCCGTTCATGCTCTGTCTCTCTCTGTCTCAAAAATAAAAAAAAATAAATAAAAATATTTTGAAAAAAAGAAACTTCATTTGTTTTACTTAAAGTGTTTCAATAATTTGCTTAAAATACAAATTTCAAGATTTTGAAGATGATGGTTTTTGTTGACCTTATGATGTGAGCCACATTTAATACACTGTAAAGAACTTTGTTCGTAGGTAAGAAAAATTATATTTCACTGAAAAATATTTCCATAAAAATGTCATTGGAGTATTTGACAGCAATTTAAAAAAAGCCATTGGATTTTGTACAAAAGTACTAATGTAATATTAGAAGATCTGGGGTTTCAGCCAAAAGTTTAGAAAAAATTTGGATGTATTAACTTGGCACTAAGTTACCAAATTTAATTAATTTTGGATAAAGCAATATACAAGATGCAAGTCAAGTAATTCTCATATTTTGTTTGATGCACTATATTTACTATCACACATCAAATAAAGATCAGAAAGAACTGCAAATTACAGAGTGAAAATGGAACCTTGATAGACAGCTTGAAGCCCTAGAACTTCAAAAGCAGTTTGGAAATCAGTAAGTTGTGTATACGTTTGTTCACTGTCAGAAACAAACGGAGTGGTTAACTGTTTCAAAAACATGTTTTAAGCATGTTGGCCTTAATAAATGATATTTTCATGGAAATGTCAAAATTCATTTCAGTTTAATGAGAAAAGTGATTTCATTATTGTAGCTGATATTTTAATGAACTCCATAAATGAAACAGCTGAACGT